ATAAAGATAAATTTTAGAACCATGAATAATATTAGGATCAACTGTAAAATGCCTATTTATTACATGCTTTTCGGTGGTTTATAGAAATATATCAGTGATATAAAACTGGTAATTTCACTGTTTGAAAGAGTGAAATTACCACTTTGATAATTTCACTGTTTTGAATTTAAGCCCCTCACGTTGTTTCAGTGAAATACCAGCGTGCACAGTACTGGGTACCAACTCAATGACGTGACGTCGTAAATGACGTCACGTTGTATTATCATTTGGCGCGCTTTTCATTCAATATTAGGTTTAATGTCTTTTTAGAACGTTTCTTTGCATGTAATAAAAAGAAAATTTGTTTAGTTTAGTGTAAGATCGAAATTTATCCTGTCACTTGTATCAATTTCGGCCCGATAACAAGGTGCCGTATATTTTTACTGATCTACGGCTCTTGATCACGTGGTTTGCCGGACTTCTTTACAGGCCGTTCCAGTGGTATGAAAAAACTGTCGTTAAATCTTCTGTGTGTAGAATAACGAATTTTGGAAACGTTGATAAAACTTGGTTTGTTTATTTTATTTCACTCTATAATTTTCAAGCGAAATAAAAATTATAAAAAGTGAAATAAATGTATTTATTATATACATAAAAATGAAATATTGATAAATATTGATGAAATAAAATGCGTATTTTCATTTTCCGTATTTTCACTGTAAAAATTTATTTTTCACTGCAGTGAAACATATTTTCCGTATTTTCACTGGTGTCTTGCCGGACTACTTTCTATTAAATTCTGCCAGTACACAAAATTCAAGGGAAAGTCTTTTAAATTTTATCGCCAAAAAAAGAAAAATGTATAAAATAAACAGAAAATTCAAGTTTTTCTATAAATACATGATTTATTTTCATCTTGTGGCATGAAAATTACCATATTTCACTCGTGGCTACCGCCACTCATGAAATATTTATTTTCATACCACTCGGTGAAAATAAATCATGTTTTTATAGAAAAAACTTGAATATCCTCTATAACTTAACTCGTTTGCGACATTAAAATAGCGTACTTGATTTGATTGTTTTGCACGTGCTGTTTGGCGCTACATTGTGACGTCACGTAAACAATACTTTAAACGTCTGTACAGCGTTAACGACTGAATAAAAGATATTGGTGTTCGAATTCATTTTCTTAGTTAGACCATTTTCTTTCATTCTAGAAAGTTTTCACAACAAAATTCGACAAAAAATTGTTTTTATTTATCACATTTTTCAAACAAAATGGCGCCTTCAATGTGAAAATACACAGGGAGATAATAAGAACGGCGAGTGCATTGTTGTAGAATAATGCACGCTTCGGGCCTTCTTTGTTTAAATAGAAACATTTTTGATAGTGTGATTAAAGGTAGTTTGCCTAATAAAATTCTTTAAAAAAAAAACGGTGACAGGATAAATAGAACATGCGTACTCGGCTCACCCAATAAATTCCTCCGCCTCGCCAGATAAACTTTCTCCATCCACGGCACCAACCTATTATTCTCTATATATTTCACCTTGTGAACACCAAAAGTTCATATTTCACTCGTGGCTGCGCCAACTCATGAAATATACCTTTTGGTGCTCACTCGGTGAATTATATTCCGATCTTACACTGAACTAAACAAATATCCTCTATATCTTTTAAAACAACAAGCAGTTAATTCTAAAATTTCATAAACATGCTATTTCAAGTCAAGTGTTATCAAGTGAATACATGTATAAAATATTTATTCTCTGAAGATAAACAATGGAGAATATCTGAGATTTTAAATATGATCCTGATCTTAATCCTGATCCTGAAATGTTATGTGAACACGGGGCATGGATTAATATCTTGTTCTCAAAATTTCGGACTATTCGCTCACTTTGTTTTCCGAGGATATTGAATTTTAATGTGTAAAATGACCTAATTTACAAAAACTCTTTCCAGTAATTCAAATCTGGCTAAGAACATTTAAGAAACAAATCCCGATTTTTGGTATGATTTCAAGTATTCTGTTTCATTTCCTTCGCAAGTTTTTCAATTTCAAATTCACATTTCAAGTTCATCAGTTAAGTTCCTTTAAACAAGAACGATTTCTTTTCCATTTTTCTTGGAAATATTTTATCATGAAATACTGGCACGTCCCTTGACAATTTCTAGATATTTTTTAGACAAAATTAAGATGGATAAACTTAATATCTTTGTTAACTACCAGAGGACATTGACTCTGTCATCGATTTACTTTGATAAATGATATGTTTGCGTTGTGATACTGTCAAGCTTCTAGAAATCTCTTTTGAAATCGAAAATTAGTTAAATGATAAATCATGTGTTTATGTTAATGATTAAACGTTTACTGTGGTATGAAAGAGAACATGTTTTGTGGCTTTATCAAAGAATTAACAACATATTTATTACTAAATTTCTTGTATGTCTGTAATAAGAATGGATAAATAGAAAGAAAACCAACACAATTTATCACAACATTTTTCGCTTTCATAAGCTTCATTAGTTGATATGATTTTTAAAAAATGCAAATTAATAATAAATAATAATAATATTTACAGTTAATCAGATCTTAAAGTTCAAGCTTACATTAAATGGCTTTGTTATATACCAAATACTAGCACCCATTTTCTGTATTACTTCCATTACTTTCATTAGGTGTTGGTAATAAAGTAAGTTGTTCAACAAACCGGTCATATTTTATGTCTAGGAAAGGTGTATCATTTATGTCAATATCTTTACAAATATCTCGTACTTTATCGAAGAGAAATATGTTATTAACTGAATATCAGGGGTTAAATTTTCTCTATAATAACATGCCAAGATTGTTGATAAGAAGAAGGCAATAAAACATGTTCCTTTTTTTTCTTTTCTCATATAGATCTTTAAATTACATTGCATTGGGAATCAATATTTTTTCTATATCTCCAAAAGCAATTTATGATGATATTGATCGCATACAATAAAGACAATGTTCACGTTTGTTTCTTAAGGCTTAAGTTTCATCATCAATTAAAAAACAATGCCAACCACGATACATAAGTACACATACTTGGCAAAAGTTTTAATAACAAGCAATTTTACATTAAAAAACTTATGAATTACGACAAGGGACGAATACCTCCGATCAATGTTTCACAAGGAAACGCATCATGGACAAATTACTCTTTACCGGTATATTAAAACAGTTAGCTTTCAAACCGCCTCCATGGTCGAGGGGTTAGAGTCGATGACTTCTAATCCAGTTACCTCTCTGGCGTGGGTTCGATCCCCGGGAGATGCTTTGGTAGTTTAGCGCGGAGGAAGGTAGTCTAGTACTGGTGTAACTCTCCAGGAACGATGGTTAGGAAACTACCCGCCTTTATGACTGAAATACTGTTTGGAAAAGGCGTAAAATGAAATAAACAAACAAACAAACAGTTAGCTTTCTGTCAATAAAAATGACTTTTCTGAAGCAATGCAGTTTGGAAATTGAAATCATAACATCCTTTACAGAAATTATCATAATTGTTTTATCTTGTGTTATTTCAAATTGTGAAATTGTATTGTTGAATTTTTTTCATACATTCTTTCCTCTGTTAATATTCTTTTCTTAAGAAGCGAACACTTTAATGTATCTGTATAAATATGGTTCAAAAGTCCTTTACTGAATTTGTACATTTATGATTTAAATATTAGGCCGAAACGTGAACAAGAAAATTGAGTACCTGGTACATATATAGGGTCAAAACTGACACGTTCAGATATTGTGTCAAAATAGGGACAAGAAAGTTCTTTGTTTAGATTTTGGATCCAAACGGGTCAAGAAAATTGTCTAATTTGTATAGTTATTTGGTCTATTTGACATGAAAATCGTCTAATTTGGATGTATAGATATTGAAAATAAATGTAAAGCCAAATATTTTTTTTTGAAGTGTCCAGATGCTGATGAAATCAAACGATCATGGTTACAACATTGTTCGACAGATCAATTTGAAAGTACAAAACGTTCCTAAATCATAAAATAATAAAAGCAAAATAACACTTCACTCATGATAATTGTAGAAAACCTTTGAACGTATACTTTGTCTAGTTTGATATACAATGTACTGATACTTTTATTTCTTTACCAAGTTACAACAATTAATTTCATATGTTTTACATAGCATCCGACAGTGTAATCATCATTTCAAAGACAAAAAATATTCCGGCACAGGTTTCCGTTTTGGATTCAATCTTTTACACATTGCATTATTCCCAAATGAATTCCTAGCTAAAATGTTCAAACAAACGTTTTCTATCTAATCTGTCTCGACTGGGGATTACACAGAGAAATCATATAAAAAAGCTCCTGAAACTTGTTTCTTTCAAGATTTGGATCAACAAAAATGATACAAATCATTTGTCTCCTACTCTCGTTGTGCCTTGATTATTTAAAGAGATTACTCCAAACACAAATGTTTTCTTTTTTAATATTGAATTGTATCTTTGGTAAAAACTAAAGCTTCTGAAATTTTGTTCAGGAAAAAAACTATTTTGATATCAAACAAATGCTACATGTGACTTTATATTATCGACATAAGAAAAGTTATGACAAGCACAAATATGAATATTATATTAAAACTTTACATTTTGACTTGTTATACTAAGACATATTATAATAAGTGTCACATTCTTATGAATTACACATTTATTTTACGGATAGCTACGAAGTTTTTTGATAATCCAAAAAACTAGCCTAATGCATTTGAAATGAAATCAATCAAGTTGAACGTGTCTGTGATTTTTATTTGGAGAATCATATTTCTAATTTGACCATGAAACTAAAACTTTATCAAAATATATTTATTAATATAAATCATGAAATAAAAGTCTTAACATGTAAAAACATAACTGATGAAATGTTGTACCTATTATGGTCTGCAACTGTTTGTTTTGCGTTACTTGACAAGCTCAAAGAATGATAATGCTAGTTAGTCAAACCCAAATACAACTCTTAGAGTAGAAAACTTACCTGACAACTTAAGATCCTTATCTGTTTCCACATTAAGAACGCCAATCATTTGTTCCTTTGTGAAATAAAGGTCAACTTTCTTTGACAATGATATTTCACATAGAGTTATTTTTCCCATAGTTTCTTGTGTATTAATGTTTGTTTATAAAGGTCTTTATTTTGAGTTTAAGTTTAAATTGATTTCTTTCTTGCTACGTTATGTTATTTATGATATAGCAGTCTTGTTAAAAATATTTAAAAAAATATGTTATAAACTTGTATTATATACACCTCTATGTGTGCGAGATTTTATAAAACATTCCGTTGCAAACCATGTATGAAATGTCATTGAATTAATATCAGTAGTTCTTTAAATAACATCAAACCGTTAATCACACATAAATGCATTACACAGCCGCAATGAAACAAAACATATTATCCCAACAACAATCTGTCTGTTACACGTCTGCATAAACCATTCCAAATATTTCGCTAATTGTTTTACACATTAGTTAATTTCCCGTACCATCTACTACAGTATCTATTCGTTAAAAAATATTAATGAAACACATTTTCAAATTCATTTAGGCATATCTGTACAAGTTTCGGATAATCCACCAATTTGGTGCACTTAGCGCGGTAGGTCGAGCAAATTTGTCAGAATCAATAAATTATAACATCGGCAGATTCTCACCTTACATACAACAAGGCTTTATCGGAAATGCTTCTGCTGGAGATAGGGGGAAGAGAACGCTAACTTTATAATTATTGTAGCATTTATTGTCTGCTTAATTTGTATTTAGTGATCATTCCAGACAGAATCTTACTATTATACAGCCGTGACGTCAGTATATTGTTGTCAATATCGCAGAATAACAATGATTTATTTCGAAATTTACGAGATGAGTCAAAAGTTCAGCAGGACTTTATAACTTGTCAAGGCTGTATGGCTAGGGTAAACGCAATTAACATTATAAAAGAAAGTAACGAATAATGCAATATATTGTTGTTTTGTTCAATAGTATCTGTTTTTTTATCTTTGTTTGGGAGGTAACTTAGTTTGATGATTTGTTATCTCAGGATGGATATAAGCAAAAGTGTCAGTCCTCGGAAGCATTAAAAACAACAAATAACATGGGTATTGCAGTCTTGGTTTAAATGAGTCTGTTCATGACAATTTTTTTTTGCAAAGTTGTGAACAAAATCTTTACAGTAAAATTTTCTAATAAAGTCTGATACATAATAACAGTTCTTTTATTTCGTCTCGGAAATCTACGTTTTAAATGGAGTTTTCTCTCTTTTTATACTCTATTTTTACTTTAAAACATCTGATAATGCTCTCAGAAATGAGAAGATATTCAATGCTAATCAACCCTTTTTTATTTATTTAAAACAGGCTACTGACCATTCAAGTAAATAAGACAAATAATTTATTTAATGAATGTTCAGTTATTTTCAGAGAACACATGAGTGTAACGCCCTGTGTTTTATTTCTTGAATAAGTCAATAACTAGCCGTAGTGATACGACAGTGACAAAAACATTCTGGCAAATTGAATACAACTGACAGCAATGTGTTTTGTTTTTAGTTGTTGTTTTCTTCTTCTTATTATTATTATTATTTTGTTGTTATTATTATTATTATTACTTCATGCATTCTGATTTTTATGATAATCTCTAAATAAGTATTTGAAAACATGATTGTCATTTTCTAAACACGAAGAAGGCAGTGTAAAAACTAAATGCCGAATCAACTTATTCTTTCCTATTTTTACTTATTGAATATCGTATGAACTGCTAATAAATGAACTGAAAACCATGTGATACCATTTAAGTTAGCAAGTGTTAAAACTTCAGTGCGAAAACGGCCTAAGACATTAAAATTCGCTTGCAACTCTTTCACGATCTTTTACGCGTGTGTGAACGTGGTGGTTTTCCTAATTCAGTCAAACAGTATATTGCTTCCTATGGAAAAATACAGGAAATCATATTGGTTTGCTAATAACAATTATGACTATGTCATAAATTCACTTGGTTAGATATTGCTTCGTCTGAAATGTTCAGCGGTTTTGAAACGCTTTTACAAGCTGTAAAAGTTTTCTTTTTCTTTTTTGAATAAATAAACATTCTGTGATATACCTGTTTTTCTTGGCATTGGTAAAAAGTCTCTCGCTGATTTCATTTGTCTTCAGTTACTTAACGCAACTTTTCATATTTCTTAAAAGTTGTTCAGCAGAAAACACCAACAGATTAATAATAGACGAATGCTTCAAGAACATTCATTGTCAACGTCTTTAACTTCAATCGATACTAACGTCTGTGGGTTTCATTAAAGGAGAGTTATTTTCCACGACACTTGTACGTAAAGTAAAATGGTATGAAAGAAATAAATAAAGAGAATTCTAACAAATAGCTGCCGACAAAGAAGACCTATTTTTGTGGTTTCGCGTCCCTGTTCTGTCAGAATTGTTTTCTATTTAAAAGTGGATTGGTCTACAATGGTCACATTTTCCATAAGTATTTGAAATATTGATTAAAAAAAAAATGGAAAAGTCATCCATTTGGATATTCTTTTAACACATTGCTTGCAAAACATGTTGCTAAAGTTCTATGTATTTAAGCGTGAACAAGAACGATGAAAAAAAAAAATATTGTCTATTCTATGAATATTTGCTACATCAGATCATGTATCTCACACTTGCCAACAACATACATTTATAATGGTGTCGTTGTTTGTTGTCAAACATGAGGCTCAGCACTATCAACATACTTATTTATTGTATAACAGACCTTCCATTAAAGACAAATTCACTTTAAAGGCCCAACTGCACTATAAAAGCCAGCAGATGGCGCTAGGGCAGGTTTCTTATTAATTTTATGCATGCTTCACTTCAGGGACCCTTTTTCAAAGATTTAAGATTAATTACCAAATGCATTTAAACAACACTTGGCATGTATGTAGGCATAGATATTCTTGATATAGATTGACCAAAATTATTCAAAATAAAACTTTAAGTGTGTTTCTGTAAAAAAAATACTGGCTGTCAAATTTGAAATTTGAATTTCCCTGGGAGGAGCCAACTGATCATTACAGGTCATGAACCTTCAGTAGTAAACAGAAACACGTGGCAGTGTTTATTTCAGTGAGAGAGAGTTGTAGCAGACGATATATATTTCAGGGAGGGAGATTTTCAGCAGACGACACATTGGAATGCTGAATACATGATAAGAAAAAACACAATACCTTTTACTGATGTTACTTTATCAAAAAGTATTTATCTCCAACAAATTTACAATAATCCATTAATCTATGATTTTTTTTTAATTTCAAAGTACTGATTCAACTTGTATTTAAATGGTTTAAACTTCATGAAAACAGTAAAAGTAACTTCCAGGTATATTTCATTTACACTATATTTTGTTGTAAATATCTTGAAGTCAAAATTACATTTCACAAATGTTTATCAAACTAAATGTTGCATTTGTATAAAATTTTTATATATCAATAGTTTAAAAATATTTTAAATTCCTGTCAAGATCATTTTTAGCAGGTTTTCTTAAAAGAAATGTCCCATGTAAGGCACATCCTTTGGATTTGGATATAGTTGTCTGACTTGATGCAGGACACAGTCAGGCATAATTTCCCTTACAGTCAGTTCAACATGGCTGCAAGCATAAGTCTCTCCTTTCTTTCTAAATATACACTATTGCTCCAAAGTCCCCTTCTGTCGAGCATAGTCCAGTATTTTCTATAAAGTTTTTTCTTATTAAGTTATTTCCTGGTCTTGCTAAGCGACCATCTCCTAACCAGGCCTGAGGACTTGCAGTCACACAGGGGGAACTAAGACAGTGGTGACAAACATCTGTATTACCGGTAGCAAGTTCAGATGATCTATTTTGTTGATCTGTTGACATGTTTGCATTCTCTTCAGAAATTTCTTTTTCGCAAACATCTGAGTTTACTGACTTAGTCTCAGTGGATGTTCTGCTCAAATTTTGATACTGGGTACTTGTTGCTTCAGTATCGTCATCACTTGATATTTCAATATCCCACCCATGAAAATTGAATATTCCACAAGTAATTTCTTTCTGTTCTTCTGTCATATAAATCACATATCTCTTTTTCTTATTATCCTGTGCCATTTTTTAGAATTCAAATTTTTACGAAATATATAAAATCAGATTATAACAGCTTAAAGATTTGCACTATTTCCCTCCAAAACAAGCATCCTATGTGAATTTTAATTCTACATGGCAGGCCATACAATGAACAATTATACTTCATTGTGACAGCATCTTAATTAGGTGTTGGCAGATTAAAATGTTTCCCAGCAGAGTTTACAGTTAAAACAATGTGAAGCTGATATCATTTTCATTTGTGTGAATTCATTAGTAAAGTCAGGTATACAATATAGTGATAAACATGGATGATAACCACAATCAACAAATTGAAGATCATAATAATGGAATAAAAAGAATACGCTTGGAATTACGTAAGGAGCCAAAAGCCTATCCATCAAATTCTGGTGAAAAAAGACGTGCAAGAAATAAAGAAAATAGACAAATAAATAGAAAATCAAGAGGCAAATTGGAGTACTATTACAATGATGAGTCAGAAAAAACTGAATTGTTTAATAAAATTGACAAAATAAAATTGTTTCTTGGTGGAGGACAGTTTAATAAAATATCGACGTTTGAGCTACTCCACAGGCTTTGTGATTTTTCTACTTCTCTGAATCTACCCGTTGAAGATAATGTGACAAACGAAAGTTTAGACTTTGAGCCAGAATATCAATATTGCACCTTGGAAGATGCAAAAACGGAAGACATTTTTATAGGATGTTTATCATCAGTTCAAAAACTTATAACACAAGTACAAGCCCATGATATAAAATGCAAGGAAAGATTAAGTCTTGATAAATCAAACAACAAAAAAATGCATGGGGTAATGACTGCCAATATCAAATGTAAGGAGTCCCATGCCTTGAGCTGGACGTCCTCGCCACACATGGGAAACGGAAAGTTTTTAGCAAGTTACAAATTTTGTCATGGTTATTTTTCCAGCGGCATACTACCTAACCAATTTCAAAAACTGTGTGAAGCTTCAGATATTGCAGATTTTGGGGAAAAATATATTTCTGAAATGATGGAGACTCACAAAGGAGCTGTAGAGAATGAAGTCTTAGAATCTAAAAACAATGCTCTTCAAGATGAAATT